TTAGTATGCCACATAACATTGTAAGAAATTTGTCGATTTGAAGGGAAATGGATCTTTGTTCTTTTCAAACAGATTTTTGACATGTAACTAGTATTGCGCAATAGAGAACTTTAAAATATATTGTTGTAACATTGAAAGCATTACATGTAGTTTTATTTTTGAAAATACAAATTGTCAACAATCTATCAGAGAAGTTAAATAAGTGGAATGCATTTTTACTATAATTTTATGTACAGAACCGGTGACGTTATGAAACCGCTGCTTCAATCCAGAAGAAATATTTTTGTCAAAGCTTTGGACTTCTTCCCTTAAATTGTAAATCTAATCTTCGTTAAGTTACCAGAATAAAATACCATGTGTTTCAATGACGGAATCCCTAATATGATTAATAATTTTCATGTGCACAATCTGTTATTTACTTTTTGACTTAGTAATAATTAAACGGCTCGCACGAGAGTAATTTTTTATTACGGAGATTATAAGTACAAACGATTAGCATCGTCTCACCTCTAGAAGTGATGCTACACCAACGTGTACACCGTGAAGACAGGCTACGAGAATGGCATTTGAAGACGTGGAGAGATGCGTCATACTGGGTTATTCAGCAAATTTCCTTTACTCCTTAACAATACGAGTGATATGAATAGAGGACGGAATTTAATGGTCAGTTTTTCTTTTCACTTGAAAACAATTCTTTTTTGTATAGACATTAATTTTATGTTAAAACAAACGCAAATGACTCATTTTTATATGGCAATTTTGTATGCAGTTTTTGTCGATTTTGACTGACAAGTCATTTTTACTTTGTTGCACCTACTAACGTAAGAAGAGAAAGTATTGTAATCGTGCACCAGAAAACGGCAATTTTTTTACCTTTTTCCGTTATTTTTAATGCATTTTTAGCTTATTTGTTCGACTTTAATATCATTTAATGACACTTGTTACAAATAATATTTTCGAGATGCAACAAATATTCTCCACAGAATTACTCAGTAGTTTACTTGATTTCTTTGCTCAGGAATTGTAATGTCAGCCGTTGTCAATATATAATCAAAGGTTCCTGTGACGCCTAACAGCGCCATTGTCGGTTCACCCGATTTCGGGATAACTAAAGACAGAGATTTCCTGGTAGAGAACAGTCCAACCCAAATGTTTGCAAGCTGACTTCAGTTGAAGGGAAGAAGAAAGCCTCAATTACTCAGTAACATATCCAACAGCTTGTTGTTCATCTGAACTGATTCTGATCAAAGTTTTTATTTATTTATTAACGTCCAAAAACAGTTAAAAACTGTGTGTGACGTGCTATGGGGAGAAGTTAATTTAAGTTACATTCATGTCCAGAAACAAAACAACGGGCCATCTCATCATTTGCTCAAGGATCAGGGAAACTGGACGAAAACCTGATCGAAATGGGGTCATTGACTGTGAAGCTGAAGTACAATACTTGTTACAGGTTCTTTAGAATCATACAATTCAAATGGTATATAATACATTAAATGTCATTGGTAAAATTAATATTACTTTCCTTTTGGATGCTCGGTATAGTCTATAATTGTATAGTTTTGTATTTTTTTGCGTTATTTTTATTTGCTTTTAGGTAATTTTTAACACATTTGAAGACCATTTCATTGATCATTTTTGGCGATGTTTAAAGTCATCAAAGTCCACCCCCTAGTTATGAGAAAATCTAAAATGAACCTATCACAATAATTTCTTCTTATGATCAAATCCAAATTTGTTCAAGTATCTCCTTTGCATATCTCAACATTCTTGTAATATGTTATCTTATTCTTGGTATTGTAATGTAAAACTCATCCAAGAACGTTTATGGAAGCCCTTATGTAATATGATTCCTTCTATGTAACATCAACTCAGAGTCGGGAATTATCCCACTCTGTGCGCATCGTAGTGTGACAAGCTCACCAAAGGACATTCTGAGGACCTACTAGCTAACTCATTTTTAAAATGAAAAAATATATAAGTATATCTTCTTCCCCCATTCGCTGGTGGAATAGCTCACAGAAAATAACATACCATGAGAGTTAAAACGGAAGAAGTTAAATAGTATTATCCTATTTAACATTCTTACAATTCTACTATAAAGAACTTAAGTCTACTAGTTCTTGTCAAGATTTTTGATTTTCTTGTTGGCCAATATTCACTGTTTAAAAATAATTTGCTAGACACATCTGTGTGTTTTGCATTCAATTATCTTAATTTGAATTTTTCTTCCAATATTTACTGCTACCTTTATTTACTGTTACCAATATTTACTGTTACCAATATTTACTGTTACCAATATTTACTGTTACCAATATT